TGTCAGCATTTTGGAAAACCCTAACTTAACTCTGGTGCCGTGTCACATATAGAAATTTTTTGATATTTGCAACCATAGTAAAACAAAGACTTATATTTTTGATATTTATTTTATATATTTAAATGCCATTTAACAAAGAAAAATCAACCAAAAAAATGAGTTCACGTGTCACCTCTGACACGCGTGTCATAGGTTCACCATCACTGCCCTAGACAGAGCCAACCCTGCCAACACCTTTAGTTCAGACTTCTGATCTCCCAAACTGTGAGATAATAAATTTCTGTTATTTTAAGCCATCCAATTTGTGGTAATTTGTTATAGCAATACTAGGAAAATCATAAAATTATCATTTGTCCAATGTTCCAAAGAGGCTCATAATGTAAAATCCTTTTTCTCATTTACTCCTCAAAACCATCCTCTCAGATAGGTATTAATGTCGTTATTTTACAGATGAGGCAACTGAGCTAAAGGACATACAGTGAATACAGTATCCTCCCTATTCACAGGGATAATGTCCACAACCCCCAATGGATACCTGAAACCATAGATAGTCTATGATAAAGTTTAATTTATAAATTAGGCACAGCACGAGATTACCAACAATAACTAAGAATAAAATAGAACAATTATAATAATATCTATAATAATAAAAGCATAATATTCTGATTAGACCAGACGTCCTTCTAAATGACCTTCCGGACGAAGCCGGGGCTGCGAGGGTAGCCCGGGTCCCAGGTGCCTGCTGGTGCTGGCAGCTGGGGGAAGGAAGTTCTACTCTTGCAAGAATTTTGTGCATCGGGCCTCTAGTACTGTAATAAAAGTTATGCAAATGTAATTTATCTCCTAAATTATCTTATTATACTGTACTCACATTTTCACTTAAAGAAAGCACTTTATGACTTCTCTTTGGCAGATTCAAATTGCCAGCATCACTACTCTTGTGCCCATTATGAAGTAAGGGTTAATTGAACACAAGCACTGCAGTACTCCAAGAGTTAGCTAGTGAGTGACTAATGGGATGGGGATGGGAGGGAGGTGTCTACAGCTTGAAGATGATGGACAAAGGAATAATTCAAGTCCTGGGTGGGGCCAAGCAGGATGATGTCGGATAAGAGAGTTCATCATGCTACTCAGAACAGCAAGCAATTTAAAACTTATGAATTGTTGCCGAAACCGGTTTGGCTCAGTGGATGGAGCGTCGGCCTGCGGACTGAAGGGTCCCGGGTTCGATTCCGGTCAAGGGCATGTACCTTGGTTGTGGGCACATCCCCAGTGGGGGATGTGCAGGAGGCAGCTGATTGATGTTTCTCTCTCATCGATGTTTCTGACTCTCTATCTCTCTCCCTTCCTCTCTGTAAAAAATCAATAAAATATATTTAAAAAAAAAAAAACTTATGAATTGTTTATTTCTGGAATTTTAGAAATTGTAGGTGTAAAATTTCTAGAAACAAACAGGACATGGAAAATGTTGGTTTTATTAAAAAAGAATGCATTTATTTCAAATTTGGGGGAGGGGATGCAAAGAAATAATGGAAATGTAGGAAAAATTGAAATATAAATACATTCATTGATACAAGCTGTTATAAATCTAAAATCATCTTATTTAGATTGGAGACTAAAATGCATTATGCTAAGTTATTTTTACTCACAGAATTATCCAGGTTTATGGACAAGGACTGTGCAAGGACTCAGATAAATCAAAACAGCTGAGGCTTAAGGTGATGTGAATACGAATAGATTTTTTTAAAATCTATTAAAATTGACTTTTGTATTATACCATTCTTGTGATAAAAACCCGAAACAAAACAGTATACTGGAGTATTTAGAGGCAAAATGTTTCCAAAAATAGTTTTTCAAGATGAGCAAAATAATCAGTTGCTTTGGTGCTTGGGTTTTTTTTAGCCATAATTTCCTCATGCCCTCTTTTCCCACAATAAAAAAGTCAGCAGAGCCCCCCTTGAGCTGTTCATGAACGTGTTTCCCCACTGTTCAGTGGGACAAGGACAGTCATAAGCAAAATGAAGGGTTGGCAATTTGTCTCCACAATTTCCCACCTTCTCTTGGCCCCTCCCACCCACACCAGGGACGTGTGCCCCTCCAGCCAAGAAAAAAGGACCCCTCTGCTCAGATTTAACTCACTAAGGTTTTTCTCAAGAATGGCGTGGTGAGTGATAGCTTTGCTGAAACAAGTAACCACTTGCATTTATGAAAGACCTACTCACCAGGCATTATGCTGGCTACTTTACTGCTTGATCCCGTCCACTCTACACACAACATAGGTGTTGCGGCCTCAGGAGGTGTTACACTCAGTAAGCGGCCGCGGTGGGCCCTCGCTGCATCTGGGTCTTGTAGATAACAGACTGCACATACTTACTACCGTGTCGTCACTCCACACTTGTCAGGTGACTGTGCACATGTGATGCATCATAGTTTTTCTGTGACCAGGCAACAAAGCAGCAAGATGGTGCTGGGGCCTGGTGTGAAATTGGCCCCTCAACTCTGTTGTTAGATTTGGGTGATGTTCTCTGTAAGAGGTTGTCTTTGGAGCAACCTAAGCAATTGTGCAGGAATATTAGCTTGACATGGGGTCCCTTGGCCTGGCCTGCGCCCTCTCACAATCCGGGACCCCTCGGGGGATGTCGGACAGCCAGTTTTGGCCCGATCCTGCAGGCATAAAAGGCTAATATGCAAATTGACTTAACAGCCGAACAACTGGTCGCTATGATGTGCACTGACCTCCAGGGGGCAGATGCTCAATGCAGGAGCTGCTTCCTGGTGAGCACAGCAGCAGTGGCGGGAGCCTCTCCCACCTCTGCAGCAGCACTAAGGATGTCCGACTGACTGCTGCAGGCCTAAGCAGTCAGTCGGACATCTCCCAATGGCTCCCAGACTGCAAGAGGGCCCAGGCCGGGCTGAAGGATCCCCCTGAGTGCACGAATTTCATGCACCAGGCCTCTAGTACAGAATAATGACTAGCATTTACTAAGCATTTACTATGTACCAGTCACTCCTCTAAGTGTTTTACTAAAGTAACTCATCAAAGATGTAAATTATCTCTAAATTAACCTGCAAATTTAACATGATTGAATTCTATACATTATGGGTATGCTACCTATCAAAAAATAAGATTTAATTTAAAAAGCTCAATTTCTGCCCTGACAGGTGTGACTCAGTTGGGTGGAGCATCATCCTGTACACCAAAAGGTGGCAGGTTTGATTCCTGATCAGGGCACATGCCCAGGTTGTGCTTTCCATCCCTGATCGGGTCATGTACAAGAGGCAACCAAGCTATGTTTCTCTCACACATCAATGCATCAGTATTTCTCTCTCTCTCTCTCTCTCTCTCTCTCTCTCTCTCTCTCTCAAAATCAATAAGAAAGATTGAATTCTTTCAATAAAAAAGAAAAGAAAAATAAATAAATAAAAAGCTCAGTTTCAATAATCTGAGCTGACAACATTAAAAAGATCTCCTAAGATTCTTGAAGCTCTTGAATAAGGAAGAAGATGCTCGAGAATCTTTGGCTCTTCAACCAGAAGGCATTTTCTCTACCCAAGAGTAAGACAATACCTCCTTGTACCTCAATTTTTCGACAGGATTTGCTAAGTTCAAGTTGCCCCCAAAAGTCTCCAGAGAAAGGCCAGAATCTCCACAAAGACTAACTTGACATATACACTGAAGGGGTTCAGCACACATTTTCCTAGATTATGCCACTTTGACATGGGGACTATTTTGAGCCAAAGGCATGAAGACCCAAAAGATTCAGGAATAGCTTTTTAAAATAAATAAATAAATAAATAATAAAAACTTTCCCCTTAACTTTCTGAAAGAGTTTGGATAGAGGGCCTGGTCTAGGAAGAGAGCTATCACCAAAGATAACTACAAAGCATATGGGCCAGGTGTGGTGGGCCGGGGAGGGGGGAGCTCAGCAGGGCCCGGAGCTCAATGTCCTCTCTGTGAGGCTCAATTGCCTGGCTACCTTAGGTCTCATATTCTTATAGGGCCTCCATATGTACATAATTAAACTTGTTTTTCTATTGTTAATCTGTCTTATGTCAATTCAATTAATAGACCAGCTAAAACAATCTAGAAGAGTAGAAAAAAAAATTCCTCTTCTACAACACTATGCTATGAAATTTATTTTCCCAACTTTGGATCTTGGAAGGACTTCTAGCTCAGGCCAGTTAACACCAGAGGGAAAGTGAATTCTCTACAGACATGGACTAGATTGTGGCTTCTATAGGCACCCTGTTCTCTGGGTTACCCCTACCTCCTGCGGCTCCTGTTGCTACATCATTTCATTCATCAGTGCAGATAAGCCCTCAGTTAATCTAGGCCTCCCAGAGGCAATTTCCTTTTTCAGGACTTTATCATACAATGATATCCTGTAAACTGAGTAGAGCAAACAGGTGGCAAAATGAGTTCCTACCTGACATGGTCCCCAGGAGAACCAGAAGGAAGACTGCTTCCTGCATACTTGATAGTTCACCTCTGTGCACACTTCCAGCAAATCACCCAGGAGCGGAATCCCACCTTATATCAAAGTGCATTCCAGATGCTGCTCATCTTCCCCTCCCCGTTTTGTTGCTATGCAAGAAATCAAACAGAGGCCTGATGGTAACTAAGGGAGACTCTAAACACCGCAGGAATGTTTGTTCTTTGATTACCTGCTTCTGTGACTGCATGGTACCCAAGGGGCCAACCAACCCATCCTGGTGAGCTCAGAGTCCATCTCAAAATTCCACACCTACTGTGCGGATAGAGAACCCCAAATAGGGAAGTCAAAGAGCAAAGAAAACGAAGAGACACTGAGATGACAGTAAAAGCCAGACATGAGCGCAGTCACCCACGATGGTCTCAATAGCCAGGCACTCTGTCCTTCTCAGAGGTAGGGTGGGGAAGTGGGAATTTTTCTGCTGACCAAATTGATGAATTGGATTCGGAATTGGGACTAGACCCCTCTTCAAGGCGGCGATAAACACGGCCCTTCGACTCCCATCACCACCACTGCCACTCTAGCCCTCAAAGCAGTCTGTGGAGGAAGATTATTGGAGTCGTGCGAGGCTTCTGCCCAGCAGGGAGTGATGTGCCCACCCCTCCGAGGCAGGTCTGCCCTATATGGTGCTTTCATGTCCCATGCAGCCCATGCCAGCTACAGGTCTGGTGTGTGAAACACAGCTGGGCTGGAGTCCAGCCTCCACTCAGAGAAGGAGCAATGGCAGCAAAGAGGGCGATGGCCATGGAGCAGCCTGCGCCCTTGACATGGTGCAGTAACAATAGCCGTGGGTACAGTGGAAGGAAGTCAGACTTGGACCATCTCTCCTCTTCCTTTCACTCAAGAACTGCCCGCTGGGGGAGGGAAGCCCAGAAGCTCGAGGCTAGTGGCAGGAGGAGGGTAGGGGGCATTGAGCCAGATCCTCCCACCAGGAGCATGAGCAGCAGGAGTCCCTACAGGAGCTCTGAAGACCACGTGTGCCCCACAAGCAAACCCGCATTTGGTCCCTGCTGGCCAGTTAGTCAGTATGAGCCAGTAGCTGCCACAGTCATGGTGAGAGCCAGCCATGTAAGCCAGCAAAAGGGGACACTACCACGTTTCCTCTCCCTCCTCCTCAACCTTCCCCAGGGCAAAGAGGGAGGGAGCCTCTTGGAGCCAGACCTCACCACTAGCCCAGGCTCCAAACTGTCAGTCCCAGCTCCCCCTGCTGCAGCAGCCAGTAGCAGGGAGATGGCAGGAAATGAGATTTAGGACAAGTTTGAAATAGAAGCCTTAAAAACGGTGGTGGACCATGAATAACTGAAAATGACCGGGAAGCAAGATATTAAGGGAGAGTCAACAGAGGCGGGTTGAAAACACAAAACCATTTCAGTTTATGTGCCCCTGAATTGAGACTGTTAAGTTAGCTGGTTATAGCGCTTTCTGGGCACACAGAAAGCAAGGCTCAGAGAGGTTGAGTGACTGGCCCCAGGTTAAGCCACTAGTCAGTGGCCAAGCTGGAACTTTGTGTCCCCTGCTTCCCAAACTCAGGGCAGCAAGGCTGTCTTTCTTCCCTGCCCACCACATCCAAAGCCTTAGCAGGCCCCTTCTAGCCTCCAGGGTGCCTCCTACAGCCCCTTTCCCAGTCTTGCTGCCACCATTTTGGCTAAGGTCCATCTCAGTAGCATCGGATGCATTCCACAGACAACTGTCAGGCTAATTTCCCAAAAGTACATTTTAATCACTGTCTTGCCTGCTTCAAATACAAAGCAACCCTTACCCTACGAAAAGCTGACTTTACCTGCATGAAGCAGGAAGTAAGATTCAGAGTGTCAGTCTGTAGGTTTTGGTGTGAGACAGGTTAGGTGGCAAAAGCATAGGTTTTGCGCTGTGACCTAACCTTTCAGAGTCTCAGTTGTGCTTCTATAAATCAGAGCAGTAATACCTGCATAGAGTATTATTTAGAGCAGGACATGAGATAATGAAGTGAAAGAAATTGGCCCGTAGTATGGCCTATATGATACTATTTTTCCCCCCGAATAGCACATCTATAGGACCGTGGCAAAGGCTGAAACGCAGTAGATACTAAATAAACATGGACTGAAAAGAAGATGAATACCCAGTTGCCAAGTTACCAATTTCTCACCTCTCAGTTTTCCCTGTCATATTAGTTACTGCAAATAATCCATTTCATTATTCATAATTAAAGCTGAAGTGATGGCTCAGATTAAGTTATGGAAACCGTCAGAACAATTAAACCTTTGAATTAAAGAAACACTCACATCTATTTAATTTTCAGCCTGACTACACAGTGTTCTTCACGTTGCCCTGTTTTCACCAAGTTAAGGTGAGTCTCTGCTTCCTTCCCCGCCCTGGTCCAGGGATAAGGGCCATAGTATGGAATTTGTTGTGGGGTTTTTCTCCGGTAGTTACAGCTTCTGGGTCCCGTCCTGAAGCTGTTTTTGCCATTATGATGTTCTGTTGTCCATTGGCCCAACTGCCATCTCCTTCTGAAAACACGTGGTCCCAGCACCAAGGACCCGGCTGGGCCAGAATCACACAGAGGCTGAATGGGCCCTAAAGCCCCTTGCCCTCTTGTTCCTGACTTCTGACACCCTGAGTCCTCCTGGTTCTACCGGGGTCTCAGCCCAGTGGGGTGAATGGGGCAGCTCAAAGGTAAGGCTGGAATCTTTGGGGCAGGCACCCCCCCAGCTCCACACGAAAGACCTGGGAAGCCTTCTCCCATGGCATGTCTGGCCCAGCAGCGAGTGGCTCAAGCTGGTGCTTCAAGTATTGAAAGGGACTTCCCTGAAATCTAGCTAACGCTACTGCAAGTGTCTAATTTGCTAATAAAGGAGTTGTGTTCCACACATCCATTGACTTAGAACCTGGAACACATTTCCTACAGATGGATTGCTCACAGCCTACAGACCGTTACATAATCTATAAAGGCTTAGGACGAGAACCAGAAGTGCTGCTGTGCGTGTTCAGTTAAGTCTCCTTAGCAGTTCCGTGGGCATTGGGGGCTGGCCAGTGAACGTGAACCCCTTTATATCTCGGGGGTCGCCTTCATATCTCTGTCCATGTTTATGCAGTTACAGGAACTATGGGCTTCAGGGACCCAAACCCTAGGACACGGCACCCAGATTCCACCATTCAAGCACCCCTACACCACAGGTCCCCTGGAGGAAGAGAGCACGCAGGGCCAGGCCCACACTCACAGCAAAGCAGCCATGCTGATGGCATGGACCTTCAGGAGGAGTGGCAGTGAGCTCTCTCCGGGTCTCCTTTGTGGGCCACTGTGCTAGCAGGCACAGGGCTCCCACCCCGCACCCCGCAGTTCTCTCACACTGTCTCCAGGCAGCCTCAGCCAGCTTCTCCAGGCCAGAGGAGCGCTTATGCTTCTTTGTATCCCAGTTACTTCACAGGCAACACGGTGCCAGATGCATAGCTGGTGCTCAAAAATGGTGGAATTAATCAATTTAACTTATACTCCCTCGCCCTGTGCCATTTTCTTCCTTGCTCCAACACCCATCCAGTGAGGGAAACTGTGTCCTTTTCAACAGAATGGTGGCCCCTCTCCTACTGCCTCTTCTCTTTTATCCCTACTCCTGTATTCACTGGAAAGGAAAGGAACTGGAAAAGGTGTTTGTGTGTGGGAGGGGTGCAGGGGAAGAACCTACAGAACCAAGAATCAGATCTGGTTTGGTTTTGATTTGTTCTCTCTTTTGTGTGTGGTTTGCTGCTATAACAAGAAGTCACACTGTCAGTCGCTGAGCGGGGTGGTGAGGAGCTGTTCCTTAGGAAAGAATGGAAGGAGTGTCTGGGGTCTGGATGCTCCTGCCTCTCAGGGAGAGGGGACAGGCTCTTTGGTGTTTTACACTTGGGGATTTTCCTAATGGCCATCCAGCTTGACTATGGGGAAAGGGGACATGTGCATGAACACTTTGTGGGCTTTGTTCGGAGAGATCAAAAGAGCCCCAACCGCTATGGGCCCCTAGGCAAAAGCCTGGGAAGGAGGCCTGTGAAGACAGATGACTGAGCCAGCCAGACCAGCGACTCTGCAGCGAGGGGACCCCTAAGGGCAATGGCTGATGTGAGAACCATGGGGCCCCTTTTCAAACGAGGGCTCCATGGCAAAGTTGGCATGCGGAGTCGCCCACACACCCAGATAGACACTGGGGGGGGGGGGGGGGGGA